AGTAGTACAAAAAGTGAAATCATATCCATTAATTTTAATTAAAACGATTAAAACGTCAAAATCACGTGGTACATGGCTTTAGTCACCCCCGTTTTTGGCAAATCCCGGATTGTAAGATATAAAATCATTATTTTTAACTACTTAACCCATTTTTATTAACCCGCCTAAAAAAATTACATCGTTTTTGACCTGTGATGTTATATAATCATATGGGTGATCACGATTACGATTTTAGGTGATCTTTAATAAATTAAAGCTTGTATAAGTTAAATACGAATATGAAACATTGTTCAATCTTTTGCTTTTAAAAAGAAGATAGCGAAATATATACTGTAAAACATAGTTATAAAGAGACCCATAATTGTTGTTAATCACGACATTACATACTGTACTATATCTGATATATAGCAAAAACGTCTCTAAGTTAAACTATAATAAGAACGGCTATCATCTGATCTCCTGAAATAAAATATAGAAATATATACAATTCAAAACTATTGATTCTTCGCGCCAGATGGCTTCCTCTTCTTTTCGTATCAGTAATAACGGCGATGTTCAATTACCATTTGGGCAAGCCGTTGGGCATTATTTATATTCGCTTCCTATATCACAAAACATCCGTTATAAAATTCAAAGCCGAGAACGAGCTAATGAAGCAGTAAAACAGGGACTTGTATAGTTGAACACGATATACTATAATATGACAATGCTAAATAATATTTGTATCATTTCTGCACGTGATACACTTATTGTCATATAATACGTGGGTTAAAACGATCTGAATTTTTTTTTAGGGTAGGTGTTACACCCGGAACTACCTCTTATAAGTCCGGTATAACGTTTTACTATAGCGACGGGTAGGTTAATTAATTTAATAGCGAATGCCGATTTACGCTAAGTAAACTATATGGTTAGTGCGGTTACGCTTTTAAGAGGATTGTGTGATTTGCAGTTATGAAAGAGGCAAACGGCTAAATGTATGTGAAGATACAGATAGTCGTATCAACAAGTGTATTTATTGTACTCAAGTTATTCGTGTATGAAGACACTATAACAGGGTTATGGTTTATTCGAGCGATCTGTGTATGAAGACACGATTACTCTTTTAGGGTTTTATTCAATAAAGTATTCGAGCTATTCGTGTATGAAGACACGATTACTCTTTATTTATTGGGAGGTGTTGTTGGAACTTCGAGTTCTGTCCTTTACAAGAGAAATATTTAAGTCCATTTATACCTTTTGATCTTTCGCTTTCTGTTACTATTTTTATAAATTTTACATTTTTGCTAGAACCACTAAATTTAAGAGTAAGCATTAGCGCTACTAGCGCTATTACAGCGTTTCTGCATTGGTGTTACATTGTGGTTATTTTGTCACATGATACTAACTACAGGGGTTAACAGTAGGCCAATAAAAATGGGTTAAGTGGTCAAAGCCGATGATTTTGCTGTTAAGGTAGTAAACAAAAACAAAAAGCATTATTATTTTAAAGGGTGCTAAGAGGAATTCAATAAATATAATTTTTATTAACGTAGATTTACGTAGTAGTTTGGAAGTTGATATTTGATTAGATTTTATGCGCTTTTATTTATACGTGAGAGAAATAGTTGTATAATAATGATCGGCACCATAATTTTTGGCTTTGATATATTTAAATTTAGTGGTGAATGATTGGCTTAGCGAATCACAAAATATTGCAGGTCTTTAATTTTAACGATTATCATTTCATCTAGACGGTAAAAAATCCGTAAAAAAATTAAAAAATCAAAAAATAACTAAACCTTGTCTCAGAAACTATATTAAATTAATAATTTTTGTTAACAAATCAACATCAAATGTATAGAATTTACCAAGTCTCGTTGAGTACTTCGTTTCTTGCCTGAGCTCTACTGTTTACTAGAGCTCTCCCAGAACTCTAGCAAAAGTACGGGAATTATAGTCTATCAATTTCGTGATACAAGAGGTAGCCTTTTTTAGCCTTTTTTTTTTTTCGGGGCAAAATGCAAATTCGGTAAATTTGCGTTTCACAATTATGAGCGAGTCTTTCTAGGGTGTTAAAAAAAAAATAAACATTTTACTTCGCACCTGCCGTGCCGTGTAACAAATTATACCACCCACTTGTTCGATGTTCCGGTCCGAATGTCGATATGAATTAAGACCTGGAATCGAATATTTTTATAGCTATATATATTACGTATCATATCGATATGTCCTGGAACAACTAAAAATGAATAAATTAGCGTTAGCCACACAACCAATATTCTGCATATCGACCAAATTTCAGGTCGCAATAGGCCGGAATTTTTCTAAAATTATAAAGTGGTAGCCCATGTACAAATAAAGGTGTCCAGAGGCTAATTTTGCTGTAATAGTTATGATTAATCTATCCCTAGAAAATTGCCGATGACCGATTTATCTGTCGAATTTTGGTTGTGCCGCTAATCTAACCTGAATGCCGCTAATCTATTCCAAGTAATATCTCATGTTTATACGATACGTATAATCTTGATTTCTTGATTTGATTTTGATAATGTACGTATGTACAGTACGTACTTAAATTATCAAAATCTAATCACAGGACCTTACCGTTCCTCAGATCTTATCATTATCGTTATCTAAAAATGCACTTAGTGGGTTTAAGTTTATGTCAGCTACTTCTGCTGCCTAGTCAAAATTTTTCATAAATTCAAATTTCCAGAAAATTTCTCAGTTATCCCAGAATTTATTAAAACAGCTGTAATAACCAGGTAGAAGCAAGCCGGCAGGTTTTTTTTTAAAAAAAAAATTTCATAAAAACCAAGTAATTTGTATATCACTTTCTAGGGTCCAATCACTATCCTGAACTACAACGTAGCATACGTTACACTTAATTTTGCCCAATCAAAAAAATGCACCGCTCGATAATTTTAAACCTATCGCTATATATGACATACTTAACATTCAGCTTTTTTGTTTTATTAAATAAAATATAAAATACATTCTGATCTTAGAGTGCTTTTACTTTGTGATTATTATATCAAAGAGAACCACGTTAAGATTATAACTCGTCGGTATACGTCATACGTGTAATAACATGCGATCATATGACCGAAAGTTTGTTACCTTGTGGCCTGCACCTAATCTGTCCAATCATAATTCTGGCCGAAACATAAAAATTCCGGCCATCATATAAATATCAGTTATTGTAACATTGGAATCAAAATCTTTGATCTGGATAATATGAAAATACTGGAATACATTTCTCAAGCTCTTAGGCTGTGTTTTTATGGCACTGCATTGTTTAGGTTTGCAGTTTAAAAATTTTATTATTTGTCGATATCTGTTTTAAACAATAAAAAAAAAAAAAAACTATTACTCAAAATCGTTTAATTTATTTTATAGTTTTGCCATTAGCATAAATATTGTCCAGTTATGTTCCATGCTACTGACACCGTTCTCGAGAAGACTAGTATGGAGTATCAACACGCGTGGAGCTCAAAGTATGTGGTGGGTTATGCAGGCAAGTCGTAAATATTTCCTTGCATTCACTCCTTTCAATATTTGTTATTGTTCAACACTGATTTAAATTTTATTCCCGTATTAAAGTATATTTTTGAGGTAAGTCATTGATTTTTTTTCCGCCAATAATATTTGTGTTTGTTATTAATTGCCTACCAAAAGCGTCAACATAGGGGCCATATCACATTCTCGGGTGATAAAATTCCATCGGACGAAAGTGCTATAGTGATTAGCAACCATCAATCTTTTTCGGATTTTTACATGTTGCATTCAGTTGCAATACGTAGAAATATGTTACCACATGTCAAATATTTCGCAAAAGATTCTTTGAAATATGTATGTGTTTGTTTTTCATTTATGGATCATAATGTTAGTGCCAAAAGTAATTAATCTTGTGTTTTTTATTTAATATAGATCCCTTGTTTTGGATTTGGCATGTGGGTAAGTATTATGTATATTTTTTAGATAAATAATCTTAATTAAAATTTTCACTATTTTAAATATTTAATTTAGCTTATGGGAATGATTTTCATTAAACGAAACTGGACTCGGGTATTTTAATATTTTTTTTTTAACTAGTGTATTTTTAATTCTCAATTGTATATTAATTTTAGTTTCCATATTGATAGGACGAAAGTCAACTTAAGAAGATATTCAAAACTATTAAAGCCTATGCAGCACCGATTTGGATAGTTAATTTTGTCGAAGGAACAAGATTGACTTCAAAGAAGTTGTTGGAGGTTAGATACTTGTTTTTCAAATCATCAGAATTCCAAATTTTGTTCTTAATAAAGTACTTTTGTAGGGTCAAAGATTTGCAAAGGAACGTGGTTTACCAATTTTACGAAATCTGTTAGTGCCCCGTACAAAAGGATTTGTAGCATGCATTCGTCATTTACGAAACGCCCATGTACAATATGTTTATGGTACTAGACATTATTTTTATATTATTCTTAACTCTGAAAACTTGGAGATAACTTATAATCATTATTTATATTTAGATTTTACAATTGCATACCGTCATATTACCCAAGGACTTCAATTTCCACCAAATCTCCTACAAGTCCATTCGTACTCACCTCTCTCACCGCCATGGACATTCCATGTCCATATAAGACGATATGCAATTAAAGATTTGCCCCAAGAAGATGAAAAGTTGAGTGAATGGGTTAGACAAATTTTTGTGGAGAAAGATGCTTTGTTGGAAGATATGAAAACACGGTGGACGCAGAGCGAAAAGTTGGAAGGTGTTAGGGAAGAAAGATATTTTTAATTTTGGCAGTAAATGACTTTTAATTTTAGAAATTGTATACAATTTTATTTAATGTATCTAGAATTTACCTTAATGCCTTTAATGTGAATAAATTTCATAAATGCTCCTTGTATAAAAAAGTCGTGCGAACGTGATAATGATCATATGATAGGATTTGTTATCATGTGATAAATGATTAATGTTATCGTTATCGTTATATGGAAGTAAGTATGTCATTTACCTTAAAACATACATAATGAATTCCTCACCGATCACTCTTGTGAGAAAAATAAGTCCAAATGTTGTCCTTGATCTCCAACCAGATAAAATTAGGTATTATCAACACTAGTTTACGTTAAGAGGTTGGTGTGCTATGATTTTTATTAATTTGTTCATATAGGTTACCTATTCCTGGCGAGCGGAACGTATTAATCACTAGCGCGCTGCCCTATGTTAATAATGTACCTCATTTGGGAAATGTTATTGGAAGTGTCCTAAGCGCAGACGTGTTTGCAAGGTAAAAGCAAAAGTAATTTTCAATAACTTTTGAATTACCGCTGAACCAATTATTGATTATTCTGATTGTTACTGCGCGCACTGCGGTTTACGTTTTTTTCTGAAGATATTCGCGTTCTCGTAACTATAATACGTTATACATTTGTGGTACTGACGAATATGGGACTGCCACAGAGACAAAAGCTCAAGAAGAAGGAATCTCGTGTCAAGAACTTTGTGACAAATACCATTCCATTCATGCAAACGTTTACAAGTGGTTCGATATAAAATTCGATTATTTTGGCCGGACTACAACTCAGCAGCAAACTGAGTATGTTTTTATTTACAATGAATTATTAAGAATATAGTTATTTGATAGATTCTCATGTTAATCTTTTGTTCAATAAATTCTAGTATTTCACAAGACATCTTTTTACAATTGCACAAAAATGGATATCTTAGTGAAGATATCGTGGTTCAATTATTCTGCGAAAAATGTCAACGGTAAACTTTAGAATTTTTGTTTTTTTATAACCATATCCATATGTGAAAGCTGAAAATTTTACTGTAGGTTTCTTGCAGATCGTTTCGTAGAAGGAACCTGTCCTAAATGTGGCTATGAGGTGTGTAAATAACCTTTATTTGGCTTAAGGTGTAGGGACATAAATAACTCAAATATTTTAATTACGGCTCGTAGGATGCGCGAGGAGATCAATGTGATTTTTGTGGTCAACTTCTTAACTCTGTAGAACTTATAAATCCACGATGTAAAACAGATAGTAGTACACCTATTACAAGAAAATCGGAACATATGTTTTTAGACTTGACAAAGTTACAACCAAAAGTTGAGAATTGGATAGAAAAGGCTAGTGTTGAGGGTAAATGGTCAGCTAATAGTAAAAATATTACACAATCTTGGCTTAAAGAAGGGTTAAAACCTCGTTGCATTACACGTGATCTTAGCTGGGGCACTCCGGTGCCACTTGAAGGAATGAAAGGAAAGGTGTTTTATGTTTGGTTTGATGCTCCTATTGGGTAAGTTTTATATATTCAATTTTTACAACTCTAGTGTTACTAGCATCTAGTCTAACATTACTTTTGATATGCAAAGTTATCTATCTATAACGGCAAATTACACGAATGAATGGGAAAAATGGTGGAAGAATCCAGATCAGGTCAAACTATATCAATTTATGGGGAAGGACAATGTTCCTTTCCATACTGTTATGTTTCCTTCTTCATTATTGGGTACGGACGAGGAATGGACCCTACTGCATCATATAAGCACGACTGGTAAGAATTGACAATTTCTTGATATTCTGAATTTGTTTTTGTTATATAATTATGTATATATGTATGTTCCAATTCAGAATATCTTAATTATGAAAATACGAAGTTTTCCAAATCTCGTAATATTGGAGTATTTGGTGATGATGCAAAGGATACTGGAATACCTGTTTCGGTCTGGAGATATTATTTGATTTCAAGTCGTCCAGAAACAAATGATTCTATATTCACTTGGAAAGAATTTATTGTCAGGAATAATAATGAATTGTTGGCCAATCTTGGAAACTTTGTCAATCGCGTAATGAAATTCGTCGCAGCAAAATATGCTAGCACTATCCCATCTTTCTCTTATGATTCCGAATCCGAACAAACACTCATAAAGAATATCAATAATTTGTTGACGAATTATATTGAAGCGCTAGAAAATATAAAATTACGCGCAGGTCTTGAAACAGCTATGGAGATTTCGCGAGAGGGCAATGGTTATCTGCAGGAATCAAAACTTGATAACGCTTTGTTTGCAAACAACCCTGAGAAATGCGCTTCGGTCATTGGTGTTTCTATAAATTTGATTTATCTCCTTTCCGCCTTATTTAGTCCATATATGCCGTCCGTCACTGAGTCCATTGCCCGTCAATTAAATGCACCACTGAGGAATATTCCTGACACGTTTACAATGGATATTGAAGCTGGTCACCAAATTGGCAAAGCTGAATATCTTTTCAAGAGGATTGATGAAAAAATGGCTGAGGAATATAGTAAAAAATTTGGTGGTGAATCAAAGGACAACGACAAAAAAGCTGCTAAAAAAAACAAAAAAGCGTCTAAAACTGCTAATAATGTAATAGCAACTGAAAGTTCTAAAAATTGATTAATTTAAAATTTATTGAGTTTTTTCTGTATAAAGAAATTTTTATTATCATTTTTAATATTTTTAATAAAATTTCGAGTTTGAAAGAACGAATCATTCAAAAAAAAAAAATTATTAGAATTTAACATGGAAATATATTTAACCAAGAAAGCTAGAACGGTTACTATCATATATACAGTAATTAACTCTAACGAACTGCCGTTCTTATAGTAAAAGAACCTTAGATCTGACTCGATGAATAATATATCCAAATACTGAAATATTTCCGGATATAATCTATTCGTGTACAATCATGTGACTGCTGGCAAATCAAGTCGCAAAAACAACGAAAGAAAATGAAATAGCCATATAATCCTATCTCGAGTGCTAACGAAAAATGTAGGGGAGGTAATTCCTCATTCTAATTTAGTAAAATTATAAGCGCTAATCAGAGTTCTTTGATAATCAACCAATAAAAAAACAAAATTTCAATCGCGCGTAAATTATAAAACGACAGGGTGAAACCCGCGCAGAAATAGTTACATTATTGATGCAACTAAACCTAATTAAGTATAAATCTGCATCAAGAAGTTATCAACTCTGCGCGAATTTCACCCTTTCATATTATAAAGTTTAATAAATGGCGACCGAAGAATCAGTTTTACTTTCCTATTTCCTTAACAGTGAACTTGAAAGTAATATAACTCTTAAACAGTTTACGAATTTGTTTCCTAAGTCTTATAGGTGAACATTACTTTTTTTTTGTCAGGACGCGTCATAAGAAAAACATTAATAATATCAATAACCTTATTAGAAACAATAAGCATATTAAAACATTGTATAAAGAGTATCAAACTGAGCGAAGTGCAACGAGGGATTTAGTTCATCAAAATACGATAGAAGAATGTAAAAAACTTGATTTGTCGAAAGTTCGTGCCTTTCAAGACAAAGATATCATGGATATTGATACGAATCAAGATGAAACATTAGATGAAATATTAGATGAAGTATGACAACCAATGGAATGAATTCATAATTGAATTTAACTTATGATATTTTTATCAATTAGTCGAATGATCGTTTGACATTAAATCAAGCAATTGAAATATTATCAATTGCAGAAAAACAAATGACAGATGAGATTAATATTATGGAGATGGAACGTAATGAATTATTTCAGGATATTCAAAGGTATTTTGTTATCCATAATGAATGTTTATGGGATATATTTGATCGATATATAATAATTTTGCTAAAATCAAAGGATAAATGAGGACATGAGCGATTTGAGATATGGTAGGATTGGGCCAAAAGGACTTAATGAAGCCGATATTATCGAAGATTTGAAGGTTTTTTTTTTTCTCTTTTTTGCTGTTGTTATTTCAGTTTCTAATTTAAAAAAGCTATTTAATAACCGAGCACTTTAATTTAGAAATTGATGTCGACCTGTATAGAGCTTATGACCGGGTTATAATCACCCGTGTAAAAACGGTAACCTCCAAAAATCTGTTACTATTACACAGAAAACATAAAATTTAACACATTATTGTATTATGAATAAACATCCTTTTTTTCTCACTAATTTATTCACTCTAATTTACAAATTTTGGAGGCTACTATACGAACTATCTATTGCGAAAATTTTGTTAAAAATTTTCCTTTGTATAGACCTTCATTATTATTTTCTTTGCTTTGCTAATATGTAATACACTGTGCTCGACACGTTCGATGGTATCCCGGGAATTCGTAATGCTAGGGTTTGGTGTGATCGTCGATATAAATTAATTAAAAGTCTAATATGTACCGTTCGTGACAAATAATTTAAATCATTTTTTAGACCAATTCTTTAAATACGTGATTTTTAATTAAAAATCGGGTCACACTGCGTACATGCAGAGCTATACGGTATGTAGTATAATGAATAACGATAATTTAATGTCGATATATAACGATAAGTACTATCGCTATCTTAATAGTACATTAAGTACTTGTAATGTTGTGCACGTTTCTTGTGGTGCTTATTAGGTGGAAGTGCCTAAACGATACTCCAGTCAAGTATAATAACCAAGGAAATAAAACACTAGTAAAAGTCGAATTGCACGCGTGGGGTTAGAAAACTTTGACCGCATATCCCAATACTGGATAATTAACAACCTTATTTGAGAACCGCACGGCATTATTGTTCACAAAGAGAGAATACACTAACTGCACCATTGTCCCTAAGTTTATGTCTGCGGCCCTGCGCTAAATTGGTGTTGAGTCATAAAGTCCCTCTCAGGTCACAACACTCACTATTCACAGGTTTGTATTTATACTATCGTATTTATTTAATTTTTTTTCATACTTATTGTCCGGATCTCAGATTACTGAATCAGTTTTTTTTTTTATCTTTAGATAATATCGAATTGAACTTCACCCTCGAAAATTTGAAAAACTAGCTATCCAAATTCTCGCCGTCACGATTATTCCAACCGGTTTACCCGATTTTTATAATTAAAAATTATCTGGCACTAAAAAAGTTCTTTACGTTTACCAATTATAATGCTGATGAGCTAAAAAGTTATTACAGGTGACCTGTAATAACTTTTTAGCCTCATCAGCATTATAATTGGTAAAGAACTTTTCTAGTGCCAGATAATTTTTAATTATACAGTATATAGTCATTTATTTTATACTATATAATGTATAAAGTGTGTGTGATAATATGAATGTATACGTAAAAAGATTTTTAAGTTATTATGTACCATATAAGGCGAAATAATGCACTTGTACATTTGGGTAAACCCGGACCAATTTTATTACTTGTGCTATTAACCCTTATATTGTGGTTGAAAATCATTATAGTCAACCTTCTCTAAGTGCAAGTTCTCTCTAAATGCATTAAAATAGCTTAGTACTCTATCAGGACTTATAAAATAAATGCAAGTTCTTTATTTTATAAATGCAAGAGTTTTAACTAGAGTTGCTGGTGAAACTAAATTGTGCTGGTGAAACTGGTGACTATCTAAAATCTGATTGGCTATTGAATGCAA